TCCAGAAGGAGGAGGCAGAACGGGAGAGAAGGGGGGAGTGTGACCCCCCGAACTCCCAGGGCAGAGGAAGAGTAAGGCGGATACGGGGGCGCCGGAAGCTTCCGGCCCACCTACGCCCGTAACAATGTAGGGGGGCGGACCGTAAAGGCTAGCCCCAAATAGCGGAGGAGGAGTAAAGGAACCGACGATAAAAGCTGGTTCCCCAACCCAGCAAGGGGGGACAAGCAAGGCCGGGGGAGCAGAGTAGTGGGCCGTTAAGACTAGCTGCTCTCCCTGGTAGGAAAAAGAGAGAGGAGAAACAGGGGCAAGTAAGCCCGACGAAGCGTGCGGGAGCACGAGAGGCGAGGACCCCCACAGCAAGGGGGATCCCTGGGGGTGGGCACGGACTGGAGACCCGTGGCTCACCCGCCCCCACCAACAACTAGGGGACGCGGCGGGAGGCTCGGTGGCACCCCCCGCCGCGAAGCGTTAGCAAGAAGAAGAGAAAGCCCTCGTTAGGGCTGGGCTTGTATCAAGAGCCGGGAAGAGCGCGAGGTATAACGCGCGGCACGGGGTCACCAGGAAGTAAAATGCGTTGCAGTACCCAGGTGGCCCCATTAAAGCGCAGAGAAGCCCACCCCCGGTGGTTTTAGTGCGGTAGGCGTCTCCGTTGCACTACTGGCCCCATGGGTTGTCAAGTGCCTAAGGGCCAGGGAGACGAGTCCCACACACCACCCGTCCCCCTCTCTCCAGGGGGGCGGGTGACGGTCCATGAGGATTTCCACCGGGTATAAGGAAAAAAGGTAGACAGATCTTCCGCGTGCTTTAAATGCGGTGAGGTTGGCCATCTCTTTAATAAGTGCAAAAGCGCTTATAAATGTGTAATCTGCGAGGACTTAGGGCATTGTAATGCTCATCGCTTAGGTTCAATAGCGTGCGGGGCATTGCACTGCCCAGATAAGAAGTAAGAAATACAAACATTAAGGACTCGACGGCTGCGCGTGAGGCTTTGCACAGTCTGAAAAAATTAGCGTAGTGTTAGTTAACATGCGCTTATTGATTTATGAGCTAATTATGTATAAAGTTGTTCATTTACATATTTGGCTCTTATGTCTTTCACGGATGATGAGCAATTATGCCCTTCTTTGATAATGGCTGGACGGCGTGTTCATCTACCATGCTGTGTGGTAAAAATCCGGAGACTATGTGAGTTACGGTTTATGTGTGTGTATATATGTAATACTGTACTGGTCCCGGATTATATATTAGTGTCTTTTTAGGTTATTGTCATGTAACGTCTCTTGTAGCGTCATGTCATGTTATGTCTAAAGTGGGGGGGGACACCTAGCCATTTCTCTTAACACTAGGGAATAATATGTCGTTTTAATTACATGGCTAGTGAGTGTCTTTGTCGCGTGGACCATCCACACACCATCGTCTTTATGGTAGCGCGAATTGCAGAGGCTGATTACCTATGGTTTTTCGAATTTAAAAGTTGGTTTAGGACGACGGTGAGTTTTGTTTGCCGCTTTTAACTGGAGCTATCAAGCTCAGCACTGTTGGGCGGACATTCCCTGATGAATACCTTCGAAAGGTGCTACCGGGGGTGTTCGTCTACAAGGTGTAGAATTCGCGCATTCGGAATTCATAGCGTGATTATTCGTGCCAAAAGAAGTAACTTTTTCCTCTGGCAAAATTGTGTCTGAACATTACTTTTGAAATAAGAGCAACTTTAACCCTAGAAAGCACAACCGGGGTCGATCCCGACCCCAGGCGAACTTTGAACTACGCTCCTGAGCTAGCGAGTGGCATTATCGACTCAGGACCTGAACCATAATTCATTTCAACTCTCTAAAAGTAGGGCTATGTCGGGCGCAGCATTAGTTGTTCGCTGGTAGTGACGCAGTACCGTCGCAAAGCGTGCGTGGGGTCGATATTGACCTCAACTGGCAGTTGCCGTTTGTGTTTCGTAGCAGTAAACTAATTATATGTATATTGTTTGCTAGAATCAATATATTTCATGTATTATTACGTAATCTGAGCATAAATAGTCATAAATATTATTTAAGACGAAATATCACACAACTTAGTCGGTAAAAATCCCGTTGCCTATAAAAGATTGACATTTCGCAGAAAATGGCTGGGCGATATAATTTGAGACTATTGTGCCTCTCGACGCAGTCGGGGCACGGGATGTGATTCGGGATCGTTTGCCGGGTTCACACAACGACTCTAGGTCGACGATTCAACAACCGTTTAAATAAAAAATTTATTCAGAACTAGTATAATTCTTGCTCTCGCGTTAACAGCAGTTAACCGTATCGTTACTTAGTTTAGATTGACCCGCCTTCCTTCCTTTCCATTCCTTTTTATATCAATCGCGCTTGGCCCTGTTGTCAGGCCACTTATTGTTTAGTAAGCAGTTGTTCCGTTAGCAACTGTATGCGCGGCTTCGATGGATTCGTACTTTGCTCCGGATACTCGTTTTCGTCGCATGCAGCAGGTATTATCTGATACCTTGCCGCGTGCGAAGTCGTCGTCTGATGTGCGGTATATCGCACTCATGACAAGACCCATATCAGCATTTTTTCATATTTTTTATTATTTTATTGTATCAAATAAAATAAAATAATACTTAAAATACAATTTTTTATGGTTTTTTCATCGACTTTTTCCACATTTCAACTTTGCGAATTTCTTCATTTTTATAGTCCCAAATAAATATACTTTTTGATAAGAACATAGCGATGACAATTTTTTTTCCCAATAGTCTAATGTGTCCTCTTTAAAACCCCGTTTGAATTTTGAAAATCGGTTGATTACAAAAAAGATACAAATTTTTGTTTAAAAAATTAGGTTTTTGCTGATTTTCTGCATCGTTCGGTCTTTAAATGGATTTTTCTTAACTAAACTTGAGTGGAACTAAATTTATCGCATACCATTCTCTTCTTTATTAAAAAACGAAGAAATTCATGTGATATTAAGGCCCTTTATCTTTGTAGGACCGGTTTTACAATAAAAAAAGCGTGGGGTCGATATTGACCCTTGTTGTGAGTTAGAAGGTCAAGAAAACAATAGGTGCTTCCTAGGGTTAAAAAGAATAGCAATAAACTAGTTGAAAATGCGATAAATTAAAAAAAATCCTTATAATGTTTACCTCTCATTGCATTAAATTTATCATTTTGATGTAAAGGTTTTTTCTTCCTTTCTATTGAATTTTCTACTGATTTTATGTTGTTCTTTCTTCCTGTTCTAGATGAACACGCAATCTTCTGTGTTGAGAACAAATGACCCATTAAATCACAGGTCATTTTACCAATATCTGAAGTCCGAATTTTCCGCATGATACTTTCCGGAACACTAACTCCTTGACCAAGTGATAACATATTCTATTTAACAGATAAAAACTACAAAATTTAGTAAAAATCCTCAATTGACATTTTCCATTATAAAACATTATATTATCAAAGAGACACGGCAGAGCCTCGCGTCAAGTGCACGCGCAGCGCGAGACCGCCCCGTGTATATTAACGCGAGTCGGCCAGTTACAATATAATATACGCGTACATATGTGTTTTAATTTTACATAAGATACATCAATTTCAAGCGAGTATATAGTACATACCTTGTCCACACAAGCATCATCAATTGCACTTTGCAGACTCTCTACAGTGTTCTGTCTGTGGGTGAGGCAGGGTACTTCTACGAATAAACAGACGAGCTCAGCGTTAACGATATATATTTTCGTCACGTTCCTTCTCTCGCCTACACCCCACTGCCACTCACCGTGCAGATGTCGCTAGTCCCTTCCTCGGCTCGCGGGATTACCCCGGGTATCTAACATCTCCCCCCCTCAAAAGAAAATAAAAAACATAATAATAATGAGAAGCTGGGATTAAAATTAGTGTGAAGGGACGTAATAATCTGGCGGGACCCCTTTGTTTGCACGGGCTGAGCGACGTGGGGCCGTCTCAGTTCCTTGGATGTCGCGGCATGGAGCTTCGACTGCATCCTCAAAGTTGTCTTCGTCTGATTCTTGTTCCGGTTCTGGGTGAACTTCTGGTTCAGCGGCTCGCTGCATCGGGATGGGAAGATCGAAGTCATCGAGCAGCGTGATGGTTCTGTCGTCCAAGTAGGTGAAACGTTTTTTCAGATGGTTCGCGTGTGCCTTGATTTTGCGTTCGCCCATTGGTGTTTGGACGAGAACGATGTAGCTGACCGTCCCGCAATGTTTGACAATTGATCCTGGGGTCCACTTCCAACTGTTGTTAGAAAAAATTTTGACGAACACATCTTCTCCGGTCTCAAACTCTTTCCATTTAGCACCGTGGCGCTCGTCAAACTGCAGCTCCATTTTCGTGTTCCGCTCTTTCGAAGGCTCGCTACATGGCTTCAGTAGATCCAACCTTGTTCTCATTTCGCGGCCGGTCATCAGCTGAAACGGCAACTTCATTCCAAGCGCAAATGATGGCATGTAACGGTAGCAAAATAGGAATCTCCGAAGGACTTTGTCGGCATTTCCCTCGCCATCGAGCTTCCTGAGTCCCGTCTTTAGCGAGTCTACAAACCGCTCGGCCTGGCCGTTCGATTGCGGGTGATACGGCGGCGTTTTGATGTGGTCGATTTCATTCTGTGTGCAGAAGTTTTCAACTCTCTTGACACGAGTTATGGGCCATTGTCTGAGACCAGCGTGTCGCAGAGTCCCTGTCGCGCAAATACCTCTTCGAGACAATCCAATGTCTTTGCCGTCGTAATCTTTGTCATTTTAAAACTTTCGGGCCAATTAGTGAGTGCATCGACGATGACAAGATAGTAGAGACCGTTCACCGGGCCGGCGAAGTCGAGGTGAATGCGCGATCATGGGGCCTTCGGAATGGGCCATGACTTCAGCGTGCACTTGTTCGGTGTTTTGGAGTTGACTGCGCATTCCTTACAGTTCTTGATGGCTCTCTCAATGTCGTCGTCAATGCCCGGCCACTTTGCTGCAAGCAAACAGTTTCGTGCGGGCCATTCCTGGATGTCCAGCATGCAGCTCCTTGAGGACCGTTTGCCGGTAGCGAGCTGGAACAACGACACGATCGCCGAGGAAAACGCCCTTGATGGCAATCAGTGAGTCCCGTCTAGGGAAAAACCTCGCGACGGTCGGATCCTGAACTTGTTTCGCTTGCTGCGGCCATCCGTTTTCGACGTATGAGAGCAGTTGCCTCGTCGCGTCGTCCTTATTGGTTTCGGCTTTCATGGCCTCAAATGTGATTGGAAGAGTTTTTGTTGTTTCGATGGCAAAACATTCGGCGCTGGCGTCTTCTTGCCTGATGCTGGCGATGGGGGTTCTTACGCTCGCCGTACCTTCGTTGCCGGTTGTTGTAGCGATGACGACGTCTTTGTCTGTTCGCTCGTGTCTCTCAATAAGCCGCGAGATGAAGTCAGCGTACGCGAAGCTCTTGGTGTTGACGTAGCGTATTTCGAAATTGTAGGCAAGCAGGATGAGTGCATATCTCTGCAGGCGGCTGGCGGTGAAAACGGGAATACCTCCCTTCGCTCCGAAGATGGCAAAAAGCGGCTGGTGATCTGTCTGGAGCTCGAACTTGCGACCATATATGTATCGGTGGAACTTACGAACTGCGAATGTCAGGGCCAGGGCCTCTCGCTGGACTTGCGGGTAGTTCTTCTCAGCTTTGCTGAACGACGATGCGGCGTGCATGACCGGTCGACGCGTTCCATCCGGCATTTCATGGAGAAGTACCGCTCCCATGCGTCTGCTGCTACGATGCGTCTGCTGCTACGATAATTTTCATTGACGGGTCGTAGTGCGTGAGTGCCAAATCGGAAGCGAGGACGTTCTTGATCTTCTCGAAAGCCTCCTGATGGGCTGACTGCCACTCGAACTTGACGTCGGAGCGGAGCAGCTCGATCAACGGCCCTCGGAGGTCGTTCAGGTGTGGGATGAACTTTCCATACCATGTGACCGCCCCAAGAAAAGCCTGGAGCTGTTGGATGTCTTCCGGCGGTGGAATGCGCTTCAGCGTTTGGATTCTCTCGGGGTTCGGCCGCAGGCCGTCCGCGTCAACGATGTTGCCGAGAAACTCGAGTTGCTTCTGCGCGAATGAGCATTTCTCGAGTTTAAGGTGAAAGCCGTAGTCCTGGACACGTTGCAGGGCTTCGAGGAGGTCTTTTGCGGTGGTCTTTTTCGTCGATCCCTCCGACGATGAAGTCATCTATAAATGGAAACGCCCCCTCTGCGCCGCTCATCATCGTGTCCATCAGCTGTTGGAACACTCCTAGTGCCGTCTTGACGCCGGGTTGAAGGCGGTTCACTTGGAACAGGCCGCAGTGTGTGTTGATTGTTAGCAGTTTTTCGCATCGTCGTCGAGTTCCACCTGCAAAAACGCGTCCGAAAAATAGATTTTGCTGAAGACACGGTATCGGGACAGTTTCGCGAAAATTTCCTCCGGTGTTGGAAGTGGATATTGGTTCGGCTCGAGAGCGTCGTTGAGCCCAGTGGAATAATCGGCGCAGATTCGTGTTCTGCCGTCCTTTTTTTTTGACGGCACCGAGTGGCGCGGCGTATTTGGAGTACTCGACGGGGATGATGACGCCCATCAACTGCAAACGCTTCAGCTCGTTGGCGATTTGTTCGGCCGCGGCAAACGGGACTGGGCGTCTGTTACGGAAAATGGCCTGTGATCCCGGCTTCAGAGTGAGTGACGCCTTCATTTTGTTGCAGCAGTCCAACGAATCAGCGAACAGCGAGGGAAATCTCGACTTCACCTCCCTCTCTAAATCCGTTGCGCTGGTGCTGTTGATAGAGTTGCAGATGCTGGCGATCGGTACATTCCACAGGTTGAGTACAGTCATCCAATCGCTTCCGAGCACGTTGAGATCCGATGCTGCTACGTAACACGGTCCGGAGTTCTCGCGGCCGTGCAATTTTAATGGAGCGTTGAATTTACCTAGTATTTTTATTGGGTCATTTGAGGCACTCAAGGCTTGTTCCTCACAGTCGCGCAGCTTGGGTGATCCGAGGACCTTCCAGTTACTGGCCGAGATGATCGTCCAATCGGATCCGGAGTCGAGTTGCAGCTTTAATTTGGTGTTGCCAATTTCGGATTCAACGAATTTGCGAGTCACTATAGACATCGCATTCACTATCTTGCTGCTTCGTCGTCCGAAGCGTGGCTTCCGGCCAGCTGACTCGCAGTAGCCATCCTTGTGGCCGGTGCGCTTACATGTGGGGCATTGCTCAGCCAAAAAAGGGCACTTGCTCGCGAAATGGATCTCGCCGCAGCTCCAGCACGGGAATCGTGCTTTGGCGGCCTCCCCGCTGCGAGCCACTGGCGTCGGCTCAGCATTTGCTCGCGGTTTGTTATTTTTCGCGTGCTGCTTCCGGTGAATCGCCAGTACGTCACTTTGCTTTGCGGTTTCTGGATTCAGCACCATCGATTTCTCAAGCTTCAAGCTGCTTAACCGCATTGCAAAATTGACCGTCTTCTAACTTTAGCTTGGGAATCAATTCTCTGGCTGCGACGGAGAAGCCTTCAATTGCGCACAGTACAATTGGACACGATGCAATTGCACACAGTGCTATTGGACACATAATGTTGCGCACAGTTCTTTTGCGCACCGTTCATTTGGACACAGTTCTTGTGCGCACCGTACAATTGGACACCGTTGCTTTTGGACACAGGTTATCGAAATATAATTTAAAACACACAGACACACGCGTATGCATGTAGAGCCCTGTTTGGAAATTTTGTTAATTTAGAAATAATAAATCTTTCTAAATCAGCGTTAGTTCAATTGGACAGTTCTGTTACGCACAGTTCAGTGTCGCACAGTTCAGTGTCGCACAGTTCAGTTTCGCACATTTCAGTTTCGCACATTTCAGTTTCGCACATGTCAGTTTCGCACAGTTCACTTTCGCACAG